AATGTGTTAACATTGTCGTCACAGCGGATGTAGATCGTATTGATCGAACCATAAATCAGTGTGTTGTTTCTTCTGTTTACCTCATCTATTTGTTAAATTTTTATTATTGGAAATTAACTTGTTGATATTCTACATTTTTTAAAAAATTGTTGGTGCTCTTGGTATAAGTTAGAATACCCAACACATATAGAGAAAAACATGGTAGAAAATCAAGCATGATTCTAATTAAACCAAAAACTAAAACCATAACACTTATCTAACACAACTTTAGTACAATGTTCTTGACCTTATTCTCTTACCTTACCCTCTAAAGACCATAACAATTATCAACAAGGACCTTGGTACAATGTCCTTTGGCTTTATTCCCCCACCCTCATCCTTGTCGTTCAAAAACCATAACAATAATCAACTAATACCTTGGTAAACTAATATTTGACTTTATTAAATTTTTACCCACTCACCTTCTAAACATCATAACAATTATGAAACAGGACCTTAGTAAATCGATCTTTCATCTTCAACTCGAAGAGCTTAGCTTTTTAGACAACCAAAGCAGAGAAGCTCCTCATTCCTTTCAAATGCTGCCATTACATCTTTGTCCAAGCACACCAAAGCCTCCATTCCCTCCAACTCATGTTTCAGATCCATCAACACAATTGAATTCTTCCTTACAATATCAGGCATCGTGATCCACGCCGGCTTCCCGCACCCAAAATCCACCTCGTAAAGTCCAACGTTGCACCAACTGCTACACGTATAAAAATTTTGAGCCATTCTCCCAAATGATTCCTCCATAAATAATTTGTGGAGAGAAATCCACTCAGCAGCCTCATAATTTTGGGGGTACTTGTCGCAGAATTCTTCGAAGTTCCTCTTCATGTCCCTCACCACCTCCCACAGCTCTACCTCTTCCTGTAATGGCACCACGTAGAAGGTGATTATGTTCCCTTTTAAAGCCTCCGGCAGCGGCGGCACCACCCTCTTTCGTATATTAACAACCTGCAGGAGGCTTGATGGTGGCGGTGGCCGCTTTTCAAAACCACCGGCGGAAATAACGACAGCCTTGTAAATGAGTGCACTGAGGAGCTCTATGCGCGTTGGATTCTCAACTTTTTCTGACACCATGACTTTAAGAGCTGTGATCTTTGAGCCCTCGAACACGAACCTCTTCACTACAGTGTTGTCAACTCGTTGCTCTCTTACTAGTTTTAAAAATAGGAATAAAAGATTAAAAGGTAAAATACGGTTTTAGCCCTAAATTTGAGGTTGCGTTCTATTTGATGGAATGCAGACATGGAAGTTTGATGGATGTTTGATGGATGGAGTGGTATTTGCTTATGTGTTTATTTTTAATGAGGTGACATTTGAGGAAAAAAAAGAGAAAAGAAAAAGGAAAAAAAGAAAAAAAATCTCCCATCGAAGACCATAGAAATTTAAACTTTTGAGTAGTGAAGATTAATACCTAACGGAAAGGGCTTGCGGCCCGGCGGGAAAAAACTTGCTGCGTTGAACTGAGGAGACACCGGGAGCAGCGCACCGGGACTGCGGGCAATGGAAGCCCAGTCATTCATGAAGGTGGCAAAAGTGATCACATCAGAGAGTTTGTGAGACAAAAACACACAGATGGCCTCTCCTCCGCATTGAAATCTTGTCAACTGAACGGATAAAATGGGGTTGATTTCTGTCCCGTCTTCCGGGCAAAGAAGTTTCCAAATCTCATCACTTTTGGTGACATCCGACATCGGACACTGGAGATTTGCCTCCGTGAAGGTGGCACCGACGTTGTTGCATTCGACGGAGGCGCCGTCGATGAGGCGTCCAGCAAAAGGATAGTAGTGGGTCAACACCTCGGAGAGGCTGTGCTTCAGCACCTCGGAGTGGCTGCGCCGCCGGCTGTCCGCGGAGCATTGATTATTGTTGTGGTAGAAGAAGACACATTGCAGATATTGGCAAGGGACTGACGCATCAAAAAAGCTGAGATACAGATGCCGGAGCTCCGGTGGGGTTGGAGACGACGGCCTTATGCTTTCTTTATTCACTATTTCAAACTCCATCTATCTTTTAGATTTTCCTCTCCAAACTTTGGAAACCGGCAGATTTTACTTCTGTATAACTGTAGAGTTTGCTCAGATTTATTTTGATCTCAACCTATATAAATACCAACGTTTATATACATGGGGATAAAACTGAGTTGGCTACATATTATACCTACTTCAATTAAAAAATGGATATAACATATAGACGAAACATAAAGAAATTAGAAAAATATAATAAATTGTTGAGGACGATGGTACCTTTACGCTTTATTAATATTCATGGAGTTCCATCTTATAATTAATTGACGATGAGAGGAGTAGTCCACTTATATTATAAATTTCAACGTGAGATCCTTGATAATAAATAAACAAATACATACACACTCATAAATGTCAAATACATACACACTCATAATAAATAAATAAAAACATACACTCATAAATACCAATAAATATCGGTATATATAGGGAAAACGATTAGGTCAACCAGGTGAGTACTTATATTCTCGTATTAACTCTGAAAATGTAAAAATAGATACTTTTTTTGAAAAATATATCAATTTTTTATTGGTAGTTATACTTACCAATCAACACCTAAATATTGTTCTATATATAGATTTGAATAATACTTCAAACAATTTTTCTACATCGATCAAAACATAATGTGTAACATATTTTCAAAAAGGAAAATATTAGACTAAAATGAACCAAATTAAGATTATATGGATCAAAATAATATTGAAATCTAAAAAACAATAATAATTTTTAAATATTCCTCCATCCACATGATTCATGCCAATCCTCTCTTCTTAAACATTATTGTCTTTTATTAAATAAACACTGCTGAAATGGGAGAAGAGATAAAAACTTATTTAATTATCGAGCAAAATTGACTTTATCTCATTCTTGTTGTTCACTGAAACCCTCCCATCTGCATTATTGTCTCCCTCACTATCGCATACTATTCTCTCCATTATTTTGTTTTGGTGGGTTGTTGTTGGATTTTGCAAGGGTATAAATTATTATAAGTAATAAAGTGATAATTAGTATAGTATTTTCTCCACAGGAATGGTTAATTAATCGATAATTACCAACTAAATTTAACGTTAATCTATTTTATGGATCCACAAAGAAATATGTGATTAAACAAAAAAAGAAATAATAATCCCTCTTGAGTTTCTTTAATCTAAATAACTTTGTTTGTTTTGTTTTATATGTTGATAGCGACTTCCCTTTTATCTATTACTAATCTTTCTTAAGCATTAACAAATAATTTGACAAGCAAATTTCTACATCTCTATTAAATTTCGAACCTATAAAAAGCATTAGGCGCGGGAGATTTATAAATGCTACACAAGAATTCATAAACATCTCTGTCTTACGATATAATCTTGGCTAAACATTTAAGGTTTGATTCAACTCTCACCTTTCGATCTCAAATTGAATCTAAAATTGTGCAATTGACACTACAAGAAAATTAAGTATTTTCAAAGGTCAAAACATTTGAAAAAGTATCAAATAAAACTTTGATAAATCCTTTTTCGAAAGTTCACTGAACCTTCAAAATGTGTCGAAATAGGTCCCGTCGAAAAAGCTTTTTCAAAAGATGTGTTAACCTTCAAAAATTCGTATTTTTCTAAGGTTCAATTAACCTTCAAAAATTCATATTTTCCAAAAGTTATAAGCTTTCGATAATTCTTAAATTAGTTGTCAATAATTAGTTAGTTTCAATTACTTTTTTCGAAGGTTTTCATTATTTTCTAAGGATCATAATCTTATCTTCAACCATTTTTAAATCTTTAAAAAAGTTTTTTATTGAAATTTTTAAATCCTTCGCAAAAAATCAAATAGAATGATATTGTTTGAAATTAATATTAATTAAATATTATTTGTTTGGAAAAATTAAATTACTTTTCCTAGTTAAAATTTATAATTTCAAAACTATATTCAACATAAGCAAAATATTACTTACTATAACCAATAGTTACTGCAAAAACAATCAACAAGTAGTCACGGTATTTCTAAAACTAATTCAAATAATACAAATACTTCAAATACCTAAAACAAACAAATTTTCTAACCCCTACATTA